TATTTTCAAAACTCTCTTCTCGTTAATAATACTATTATATATTTTTACTTAAATGAAAATTTGAAAAATGAAAGAACAAGTGAACGCAAAAACATTAAACATTTTATATTGCAAAACGTTACCTTTACGATGTCGTTAAAAATTTCATTTTGTCGTAAAATACAACCAAAAATTAATTTTTGTTTTTTTTTTCCCTCTTTATTTTTCAACTTACTTTCTAACAATTTTATTGCGAACGTGAATTATTCCCATCAGTTTTCACGGAAGAATGAGAAACGACAAAACGGATGAATGAAAGTGTGCGTGTTTGTACGTAAGTCTGGCGTTAAGCCAAAAACCGGTTCGTTTGACTTTTTTTTTATGAAAAAGCTCATTTGCCAGGATTTTTTGGAGACACGTGTGGTTTTTTCGTTAGGTTTCTTAAAGTAATCTGTTGCGTTCTCTTCTTCTTCTCTCTCTCTCTTTCTCTTTTTTTTCTCTTTTTTAAGACTAAGTTTTCTTTACTATGACGTACCATTACGGTATATTCGACTGACGTATATTCCATAAATAAATGTTCGCCTTGTTAATAATATGTTTCAAAGAGAACGGTTGAAAATATTATTTGAAAACGATTTATTTTTTTCTTTTTTTTTATTGATAACGAAATTTTTTCTTCATTTTTCAAACAAACGACTCGGCAAATATCTTATTGTAACGAGACACTTTGTTATCGATTTGATACAACAACGTTCTGACTTTTCGAACAAAATCATTCCGATAAAACGATGATCCATTTAATGAGATTTCATCGGATAACAGAGAACGGACGGAGATAGGGAAAAGACAAGAATGATAATCTTATAAGACAGTAATAATAAGATTATTCTATGGATAATACGATTTCTCGAAATTAATAACAATGTCAAGTAATTTCAATCATATTAAATTAATTGAAATTTGATTTTGCAATGATTGAATTTTTGATTTTTGTTTTAAGAAGAAATTTGATATAGAACGTCATTTTCTAATAATAATATTAATTATTATTATTATTAATATTATTATAATTCAGAGTTATATACAAATGGGGTTTCTGTGTCAGTAATTTTCGATTATTGATATCGATATACGATAAGCGGATTTTCGACAAAGGAACCCTCTTCCTCTCTCTCTCTCTCTCTCTCTCCTTTTTCTCTGTTTCGACCCTACATGAGAGATAAGTACTTAGCATTAAATCAATACAATTATTGACCCGTTTACAAGAGGGAAACCCTGATACACCTACACACATGCAGGTTCTGTCCTATAAAGATATCTTATATCGAACATCTGCCTCGATTATGTGACCCCTATTTTGGGTTGACGTCGATTGCACTTCCTTTAATTATTCATTATTATAAATATCGTTTAACATCCTTGTGTGTGGAACGGACGAGAATTCTAAAGTAATACGTAGTAATAAATTATTATATATGAGAAGTTTCTAACTATCTGATTATTAATTAATAAGGAACACACCATACAAATTTGCTATTTGGAAATACATGTCTTTCCTCTCTCTCTTTGATATAAGAAATAATTAATTCTTATTATTTAACAATTGAGATTTGTGGGAAATATTTTCACAACGCGATCTGATTTAATTATTTTTAAACAAGTTTTTTTTTAAATTTATTCGAAAAGATCCTGAAAAAGAAAATAATAATTGTTTACTTCAAATATAGCTATAGTAATACAAATTAAATACTAAATTATATCTTGAATTATATAAATAAATATTCCCTCTTAAAATGATCCCTCGAATGAATGAATTAAAACTCTTAATTAAAAATGTCAATATTGAATTAATTGAAAATATATATTTTGCAGACACATTAAATAAAATGAAATAAAATCTAATATAATAAATTCTTGTATCATTTCTATCTATAAGAAAAACAAATAAATAAATAATATTTAATATTAAATTAGTAAATTAATAAGTAAAACACGCGTGTATAATTAAAAAAATATCAATAAAAATTTCGACAATTTAATATTAAAATTAAATATATATATATATATTTACATAATTTCTCTTGGACGAAGCACAGGTAAAAAATCACCACAGGTCGTGGCCTTTTCTGTTCGATCTTACAATGAAACAACAACGACAACGACAACGACAACGACGACAACGATATCCCCGAGTTATCCATCGTCCAGGAAATTAAATTGCTCGGCGATTTATTCGCAAAATTAACTTCCACGATTTATACGTCAGAAAAGAGATATAAGGTTCGTCTTAAAGGCTTAAGGTTATCACACGATGGTAGCAACCTTCGTCGAGCTGTATAAGTCATGCCGGAAAAGCTTACAGACTCCAAAAGAGAATATAAAAAAAAAAGCTTGAATATTTTTCCTTTCCTACAATATATACCTAACATATTATAATCAAGATTATCCTGAAATTACTACTATGTAATATTATCACCATGTCGACATTTTCATTTTATTTCAACGCCCCGTATACCGTCGTGCACCTACAAGTATCTTTCAATATAAAATAATATGAAAATTAAAGATATAACTTTTCACAGAAAATTTCTCGTGTCATCTTTCTCTCTCTCTTTTCCTTTTCTCTTTTTAACTTTTCTCTTTCCGATTTGTAATTCGTAACATTTTACGTTTAAATACGTAGTCATAACTAATTTACATTTAGTTTACATTTCTTCTTGTACAATTTAATACGTACACGAACGAGAGTAAAGGTACATAAGTTCTGCAACATGTTCCAATCTAAATTTTCCTGTCTTATATCCTATTCCTTCTTCTTATTTCTTAAATATGTATATTAATTATTCCACAGCTGGCACGGTCAAAGAAACTACGACGTGGAATGAAAAAAAAAGAAAAAAGGAAAGCAAAAAAGAAAAAAGATCTACGACGCATAAGAAATCGCATGGTGAAACTCGCACGCTTACCTGGAATTTTTATTAAAGGATAAACCTTTGGAGCACCGGGTTATTCTCTCGAGACTTGGTAATATGACGAATAAAGAAAAACCCACGAGAGAGAAATAGAAAGAAGGAAAGAATAAAAATAAGAAGTCAAGTAACGTACTTTAGCCACTTTTCTCTAACCCTCCCCGCCCCTCCCAATCTTCAAATGTTAACCCTTAAATCATAAATCCTAATGACAAGAGTTTTTCTTTTCGATAATAAAATTACATCCCTTTATCATTCTCGTCCTAAATACGTCGAGTCGTCATTTATTATCCTATCCGTTTAAGAAAAAGAATAAAAAATAAAATAAAAGAAATGATTTGGACATCGTCCAAAATCCACACGCAGTAGTAACTCGTGCGTGAAATGTTTTCAACTGTTACCCCTGAAACGAATAAAATTTATTAGTTATAATATTTCAATGGGAAAGTGAATAAATCGGTTGAGAAGATATTATAAAGAAAAAAAAGAAAACAAATATTTATATTAATTTCTCGCGAGGAAACTCTAATCGTTATTTCGTAGATCGTTGATTCAAAATCGACCTAAACGGAAATATATTATAATACTTTCTCGAGATAAATTGTTGAAAATATAAATATTTTGATGTATATAAAGTTTCAAATTGTTGACAAATGTAACTCGTACGAAACTCCTTTTTACAATTTTATTCTACTTACAATAGATATAAATAAGGAAAAATAATAATTCATTATCATTATTTCGTTTTCTGAATTTTACCAAAAAGAGAGAGAGAGAGAGAGAGAGAGAGAGAGAGAGATAGAGTTGCGTTTTGCACGAGGGGTCAGAGCAGCTTTAATTGGATTCGATTATTAAACAGCGACGACCTCGTGGTAGCTGAACACAAATCGATACTTGTACAGGTATTAGTGATCTGTTTGTGTGTTCGTGTGTAACGTCTATATAACTATGTAGATTAATTTCGACGATGACGATGTTGATATTTTCACGTGATATTCATGTATGGATCTATGCATTTAACTTATTCTATTATATGTAAATACGTATGTGTAATTGCATTGTAATTGTGTGTGTGCACGTGTATAAATATAATTATATATATATATATTTTTTTTTTTATTTTATTTTGGTAGACATTAACGAGGGTGAGAAAGAAAGGTTTTATGAACAAAACAAAAGAAATGGAAAAAGTAAAAGAGAAAAAAGTGGATTAGCAAAGTTATCAAAGTTGACACTGAAATATCGAGACGTCATCGAGAAAAGCTCGTGTGCATTCTATCCTAGAGAGTCAAGTATTCTCTCTTTGTCTCTCTCTCTCTCTCTCTCTCTCTCTCTCTCTCTCTCTCTCTCTCTCTCTCTCTCTCTCTCGTTGTAAACGAACGAAGCCGGTAAGAGGGCCGATTATCCCTCGTCACGATTGGATTTGCGGTCAAACGATGAAAGCCCATTCCGCTTCAATCCCCCCCACTCCATCCCTTTTATCGAGGGTTGGAACGACGAGATGGAAGAGATCGGACACGAACCGACTCGTCGACTTCCGCTACGCACACACGATTTAACTCGATGCTTCCGTTAAGGCGATTCCAAAGTATCCAATCGATTTTATCTTTATTTCTATCTATCTATCTATCTATCTTACTCTTTTACTTTTTCTCAGGACATAAGGGGTGGGAGGGGGTGGACGAGCAAATTGTATGGGAAGATAGAGAGAAAGAAAAATAAATGAACGAATTTATTCGTTACCAATTTATCCAACGTAAATTAGACTCCCCTAGATTAGTGTTTTTTAGTTTTTATTTAACAATTGAATAAAAAAGATTTAACGATAAATAATGTGTTGTTCGTCGAGATAAAATAACATTTTTCTTTGGGGAGAGAGGGAGGTGGGGGTTATCTTTGGATTAAGATTAATCTTATCGTATATACTATAGTTCGTCGTTAGTAATTTACTATGAAAAGTAAAAAGAAAAATGGAGATTAGAGTATTGAGGAATTCGTGCACGTATGCTACTGTGTACTCATATATCTCAGTTAAGTATAGTTTATACTTACGAGCTACTAGAAACGACACCAACGACGAGCACAGACTCCTGGCTATTCTTATAATACCACTTCAAGTATTATGGTACAGTTGACGACGGTCAACCCTACAATCTCATTTTCTTTCTTTATCTTTCTGACCCCTCTTACCGGTGACGTTGTTGTCATATTGTTTCCTCCTTTTTTCTTTAACTCGCTCATATTTTTTCCTGGAATGATATATGCAATCAGCTCAATCGGAACATTTTCTTGGAAATTTATTATAAAAGTATTTGAATAAAAATAATATAATAAATCGCGTATTTCAATCCTTCCACTGTGAAGTATACAAAATATTCCGTAAGTTTGTTTATTTTGTAAATTATTATAATTGGTAAAAAATAAAAATCATATTGTTTCGTTAAATTCTTATTGAAATTTTCTGGTAAACTCTGTATACTAAATCACATTTATACACTTGCAAAACAGCATCTATCGCGCGATAGAATTTTCAGTATAAAATTACTTTAAACGCGGCAAGAGTTAAAATGTCGGGACGTAATATTCGTAGAAAGGAAAGAGGTTGGAAAAGAACAAAAAAATAAAGACAAAATTTCCGATAAAACCGGTTTGTCATACTTGTGTGTTCTCTCCCGGCAAAGTTATAAAAAATTTTATGCTATCCAGACTGCCCATAAAAAGTTTAATCCAAGCATCTGTCGTTTTATATACGAGTCCTAAGTGCATCCTAAAAAGCTCGGCGCATCGCAAATTAATCGAACGACACATTATCGACGAACTCGTTGATTGACCAATAAAAAAGGTGATTTCTTTTAGAAATTCTTGCTTGATACATATTGTTCGGTTAAACGTTGGATAATATAAAGAGTGAACTCAAAGTTTCCAGATTGTATATACAAAAAAATCAATACAACTATTTTCGAATGAATTATACTTTCCTAAATAATAAAATCATGAAGTAGAAAAAGTTTGGAGAAAAGAAGCTGATCAATTTTTAAAATCACTTAAGAATCGTCTGAGTACTTTTAACTCAACTCCCATAAAATAACCTTTTAGCATTCATTCTAAAAATAATCTTTATAATTTATTAATAATTTATATATGGTTGAACGCGATTGACCTGACGACCTATCGATCAGATTTTTTCGATTCTAAATGACTTCGTTAGGAGTCATTTAAAATATACTGTTGATAGAATCAAAGATAATTAAAGTTAATTATCTACTTCTCGGGATGATAAAAAATTATTTGTCTTTACTTTTCCGACCAATTCAAACAATGTCTTTCGTTTCATCTTCGCAGTTCGAAGTATTTTTTCGCAAGGAACGAACCTCTTTAAGAATCGCGCATTGGTCGAACGGGGCGTTCGAACACGTTCAAACGTAGAACCCATTGATTACACCTACGAGTAACACGACTTGCTTTTATAAAGATTTATATGGGTCAACACTTTTTATTCATTCGATTCGTTTGCACCAAACCAACTGAATAAATCTTCCATACTTAATGTTCTCTCCCTTTCTCTATTTTCCTACATCTTCTTGGAACTTAGAAAATAACGTGGAAGATAATTAAATAATTAAACATAAACTTTGCCATTTTCTTTTTCATACATCATTTTCCTATTTTCGTGCTCTGAATTTCAATTAAGTTCTAGATAAAAGGTTACTTTAATAACTAAACTCTATAAATTTATTTTAATTGAAAGCAAACATAAATTGTAAAAACAAATTTTACGTTATTTAACGATCTTTTATATAGCTTTATATAAAATACTTACTAATTTAAAAATAAAACATTATTTATAAGTAAAAGGTATACGAAGAATGGATAATAGAATGGATAGGCATTTAAAAATTTAATGCAATTGCACTTTGCAATCGCATCGTGTACTTCTCGAAAAAAAATTGCACCACAACATGACAAAGCATGTTAAATGGTGCACAATTTTTCTTCTACGAATAAGTTTTTATTCCCATTTTCAATAAGAACAAGAGCGATAATTTCGGACTTGATTTCTAGACACACCCTATAAATTTATGGTATGTGCATACAGGACTATAAATGATTTTGAACGATCATTCTCAAGCTTAAGCTTGAACAAAGCAAACGTATGCTTTACATGTGCCACGCAATAAATTTCAAGTTGGCTGGACATCAGCTTAGAAATAAATTTGGATTTCTAAGGGTGAACAAATGACGTACCTACAAGAACTTGGAATCTCTCTCTCTCTCTCTCTCTCTCTCTCTCTCTCTCTCTCTCTCTCAAACTCTCTCTTTCTTTTTCTCAGCCAGTAAATCGATCGAAAACTTTCTTTCCCGTATCTCACGATGCAAATGAACAAATTTGCAAGTTCCCTTCTGTTAACTAAACTTTATTCGTTTGCAAATGAAAAGATTCTTTCAACTAAAAAACTATATTTCGAGTCGTCGACACTTAGAAAAAGAGAAAGAAAGAAAAAAGAAAAAAGGAAGAAAAGAAACTTTTCATTCCTACTCGTTTTAACCTTACGAATATATTCGTTGGTATTTATATTAAGTTCCATGCACAAATGCGAATTTAGTTAAAAATGGAAAGAAAAACTTTAACTAACGAGTGACAAATTTGCGAAATAATAATATAAAAGAAAGAGAAAAATAAATATATAAATAAAGAAATATAAATAAAGAAATATAAATAAAGAAAGAAAGGTAGAACAAAAAACGCATTAACGAAGAGTGATCATTTGTTCTTAGCTGAGGATTAAAATGAATGGATCCTAAATCTAAATAAAAACTCCCCAAAAAAGAAAAAAGAAATAAAAAAAAATAGTATTATATCGCTTATAGCACGTCTCGAAAAAACGACAATAATTTTTGTTCTCAGCAATTCGTTTTCATTATACTTGTACAATTAAATGTATTATACGACGTGTTCTTTTTCTCTTTGTTTTGATCTCTTCAAATTTTCGAATAATCAAACGAGAGAGTAAAAGATGGAAAGAGAGGAAGAGAGAGAGAGAAAGATGAGAGAGAGAGGGAGAAGATTAAATTTTCTCATTTTATGTTTTCAATATACATAAAATAAGTAGACGAAAAGCGTCAAAGTTGGTTGTTTCTTTCATTTTCTACTGAAAAGCCAAAAAGCTGAAAAGCCAAGAGGGTAACGAAAGAGAGGACGTAGAATAGAAGATGGTGGATGGTTGTAGACTCTTAATACGACGTTTCTGCCAAGTTTCGCCAAGGTCCACTGACGATGTAACGTGTGCCTAAATGTTTACAGTTGTAAGCTTTCAACGAGACAAAGAAGTCTTAACGAACTTCGCCTAGCTTTCTATAAGCTTACTGGGTTAGAACGTATAAGCTCTTCTATGTGTGTCTACATTTATATATATGTATATGTATATGTATTTATATACTACTAAGAAAACAAAACAAAACAAACAAATTTACCATTTCCGTTTTTTGTTTTCTTTCTGCTATTCGCGTTCTCCCAATTTCATTTATATATACGTGAGGATGATTAATAGACATTTTTTTTGTATCTATTATATTCTTCGTATAGCATACACACATTGTATTATATTTTTTATTATAATATTTGATATATTCTGTTGGCTAATAGACTCGTGCAATATTTTCTAACAATAAGTAAATAGATGATCAAAAACTGTATGGAGTTAATAACCGAACTAATAGTATTTATTTATACTTATATCATAATTATTTGTATTTAATTTAATCTATATAATTTATTAAAAAATATATCAAAAAGAGGAAACAATAAGGTAAAAAGATAGAAAGAAAGATAGATAGATAAAAAAGAATAAAAAATAAAAGTAAGATAGACAACACTTTTTACCGGATCGATTCTCATAAAATGGAATATTTTTTTCTTTTAAGTTGTTGGTACGGTATACATACTGTGGCTCGCACATTTTCAATGAGTAGATACTACACGACGAGAAGCAGAACAGCATCGGTGAGAGTGTTGACTTATCATTAATGTCCGAGCTAAGCCTTGTTTCAGCACCCTACCCAGAGTTTTACAGAGAAAGAAGAATGAGCTCACGTCGACGACGCGTTCGAACTAGGTCTCGTTTTATACCATGCGGTTTCTCTCTTCGGTCACAGCTGCGACTAACGTAAATAATATTAGGCCCGATTAATTAACTTTCTCTCGACGTATGAAAAAAAGGAATAAAAACATGAGATTAAAAACATTTAGATTTATCGTGTTTTCTAAAACGTCGATTAGATTGTAATCTTGTTGAGTAATTTGAACGAAATCGTGTGAAAAAAAGTGAACGAATAATATAATCAAAAAAGTTTATATAACAATTAAAATTTATTTTCATTTATCTCATCGCAGAGTATTATAGAAGAAACGTTTTTTAGTAAAAATAATCCAATTTATATATTTATTGCAACGAATAACGAATGAATTTTGAATAATAGTTCTCATTGATTCGTCTAAAAATAAATAAGTCTCGGAAAATGTTTATCTAAACGTAGGTAATAGAAAAAATACGTCTACTATTCGTCAGCACGTATATCTAAGAAGGAAGAAAAATAAAGGGGAGGACGAGTACGAAAAAGGGATGATATCATTGAATAGGATTGACTGGCAATTGCCTATCTACGATTTGTAGGTTACCGATTGCAAACCCCTCCCTAATCCTTCTTCACACTCTCTCTCTCTCTCTCTCTCTCTCTCTCATTAGCTCTTCATCCCTCTCATGCACCATATCGTTCTAACACACCTACGCGTTCTTTCCCTCATCGATGTGAAGGGCCCTTGATTGGATTTCCTTCAAGCGACCGTGCTGACCGCTTCATTACATTAATCCTATAATCTTCTATAAGGAACTAGAGGCAAGCGGATTCTTTGCTAAAGCTAGCTGATCGTTCATGCCCTTTTACGTAATATCTACTTTAATTGTAGACAGACATACGGATAGTAGTAGTTTGACAGATAGTACGTGCTAAAGTGAAACCTTCGCATAGAAAATTCTCTCATGTGAATTTGATAGCCTTCGTAGACTGTTGCATAGATGGTTTGGGTCAAGGCACCTTGCCAGAACTATCAAATATTTTCAACAACGACAACCAAATCAAGGATTTATCTTCGAATGCCCTCAGACAAAAGAAAACAAATGGATTAGATTTGATGCACAGTATCTCGTCGAATAGAAAGAGATAAAAGATTATTCCGTTTGGTTTTTTTTTT